AGTCGGGGTCTGCTGAGCCTGCAGGTCCAGGCCTCGCGGGTTTGGCCCCGTGGCCCCCAGCACTTGGGGTGCCACGGGGCGATGGGCAGGCTGAGCGGTGTGCCTGTCCTCCCCGTCCTGGCAGAACCAGCTGTCAGGGTACCTGCTGAGGAAGTTTAAGAACAGCAGCGGCTGGCAGAAGCTCTGGGTGGTCTTCACCAACTTCTGCCTCTTCTTCTACAAGACGCACCAGGTGGGCAAGGAGTGAATGTGGGCCCTCCCATCTGTTTGAAGGGGAGCTCAGGCCCCTCCACACCTGGTCTGGTGGTGAGCAGGGTGGCCTGCCCCGCGGTCCTCGGAACCCAGCACCCTGCCCTGCAGGACGACTACCCGCTGGCCAGCCTCCCTCTGCTGGGCTACAGCATCAGCCGCCCCGAGGGGGCCGACGGCATCCAAGAGCAGCGTGTCTTCAAGCTCCAGTTCAAGTCCCACGTGTACTTCTTCCGTGCAGAGAGCGAGTACGCACTGGAGAGGTAACACACCCCACCTGCGCGGCCTCACCCTGGGTAGTTGTACCAACACCCACACCCAGCCCTCAGGTGAGCGCCCCGCCCCTCCCAGGTGGATGGAGGTGATCTCAGGGCAAGCAGCACCGCTGGAAGGGAGTCCGGAGGGCCGAGTGCCATGCCCACGCCCGCACCCGCAGAGCAGGCCTGCAGGATGCCAGCCCCAGAGGACGACAGAGGGCCAGGCTGGCCAGCGTGCTGTGTCCAGGGCAGAGGGGGTACCCTTCACTCCGTAACTTCACGAAGCAGACAGACTGGCGTGGTGCACCCGACCCTTCTCAGGGCCTGACTGGGCCCAGAGCGGATAAGCAGAGGTCTTGGGAGCCGAGGGTCTGGGAGCAAGGCTCCAAGATGGACCCTCCCAAGCCCAGCCTGGCCAGGTGCACTTGGAGACAGCAGGACACCTGGGTCAGGGGCTTGGTTGGCAGCCGGCACCAGTCCTGCCTTCTGGGGGGCACTGGTTTTTGGGGACAGGGAGGGTCACACTAATACAACACTTCCAAATAAAACATCTCCACAGACCGCGTGTGGCCCTCTGTGCAGACCCGACAACCCCTGTAATCCTACACACACACACACACACACACCTGTCTCTCCCTGTAATCCTACCTCTGCACACACACACCCCCACACACACACCCCCACCCCCGCCCTCCTCAGCCACCACTAGCTTGAGAGTTTCTCTTCGAAGGTAGCCACTGCTTCTTTCATCTACAGAGCACTACCACCCAAGCACAGGCCACGGGGTGCAGTTAACAGCCCATAATTGAATGTGGAATTGAACCTGCCAGGGGCAGGAAGTACCAGGGAGTTATCATTTAGAAAGCATTGGCTTGCTGTTCAAGGTAATAGAAAACTGGCAATGGGAAATAGGAGTCGTTATAGAACTTATTAATGTAATTGATGTCACTAAATTGTTCCATGTGAAAATTTTCAGTGGGCAAAGGTTGTGTGTGTGTGTGTATGTATGATCATCAAAAGATACATTAAAATTGTTATTTTGGAAATAGACACATCTGTGAAATTGCATAACCATGAATTACATTCTGGGCAGCATGGACGCCTATGCCTCTTACTCATCATGACCAAGAAACACATCGTTTCCTCCTCCTCCTACTTCTCCATCAGAGAAGTCAATATTTTCTCTCTCAAATGGAGAAGAGATGAATGATTGAAACTTCCTAACCACCAGCCTCTCTTTGTAGCAGCATTCAGTCAATAAAACATAAAGAATAATTTCTACTCCCCACTCCAGCCTTCAAAAACAAAACATCAGCATGGGATGTTTATGAAGCAGAGAAATATTAAGACATGGGTTATTGAATAAATTTAAAAGTAGTGTGTTAACTTTTCCATTTGTTCTTTGAAACATTTTTTTTCCAGAACACCTTAGCATTCAACCCAATTTCAGAAGACTATGGATGACAGTGGGAGCTCAAATCCACCAGCAGCGTCCCTACATAGATTAAGCCTCTGATCCCCTCTGACTAGAGTTGAGGGACTTGAATAACCTTGCTATCAGACAGACTATTGTAAACTTGATTATGGCAGATGGAATTAGGTTATAATATGGTACCTGCTCATAAGATCTCCCACTTGACCTATTTTGGATTCATTCTAGTTTTCAATATTTTCTGCAATTGTTTTTCCCCACAGAGGTTTTGTACTCTGGTTTATGTTAATATTGTTGCTGTGTTTTTTTTAAATATAGTTTCTGTTTTTGTTTTTGTTCTTGTTTTGTTATTTTTGCTTTTTCATGATTTTTGGGGTTGGGGGTCTATTTTCCAGCATATGAGTCACAGGATTGGAAGGTGTAGAGAGGCAGGATTTGGTGTATGGCTTCTTGGGGACACTGGGTTGGAGGAAAATGAGGAGCAAATAATAAATACGGGAGTGGGGAGGATGCTCCAGAATCAACTGTGGTGATGTGTATACAACTCTTTTTAAATAGGACTGAACGACGGAAGTGAGACATATGTGATATATATGTCTCAATAAAATGATTGGGGGGGGAAGAGGCGGCATTTAAGAAACCACACAAGAGAGAGCCTCTGTGAACGTAATGGAGGGACAGCCTTCAATGGAATCCACCGTCCTACTGTGCTTCAAACCATCTTACTATGATAGCACGGTATGATATTTGAAGTATATGCCCCACAACCATTTTTTAATAAAACCTTAGGATTCAGTCCATTAGAGAATATTCAAATATTGAATAATTGGCTATATGTTATCTTCACTTACTATTAGGTTTCTACTCACCCAAAACCACCTCATGTAGACTCATGCAAATAAATTACTTTCTGCTTTGTTTTTTTTTAATCGGAGTTCTGGTCTTACTTCTGGAAGCCCCTGGATGGTGAAAACAATTACATGCTTGGCTGATAATGAAAGGTTAGGGGTTCAAGTTCACTCATAACTGCCTCAAAAGAGAGAGCTGGTGGTTTACTTTCCCAAAAAAAAAAAAAAAAAAATCAGCTCCTGAAAACGCTGTGGAGCAGAGTTTAGTCTGACACACATGGGCTGACCATGAGCTGAAATCAGGTCACTTTGCAGCTATTTGGTTGACTGCTGTTTGCTGTTTCTGTGGTGGTTGTGTACTCCTGTTTCGGTTAAGAATTGGCCATGTGAATCTAGGAATTACTTACTCTCCCTGGCCTGAATTTCCCCACTTAAAAATTCAAGATAAACTCAAGGTCCCTTTCCAAGTCTATAACACTATGTATAGTAATAATGACTACCACTGTTATAAAGATCTTATGTGTATTTGTTTCATTTTCACACATCCTATGAGTTCGACGGTATAATTTCTCCTTCTTTCCAAGTGAGGAAACTAAGGCACAGAGAGCTTGATTAACATGCTCAAGGATGGAATCCCTAAGAACTCCAAACTAAACTCACTCTATCGAGTTCATCCTGACTCATAGCAACCCCTAGGAAAGGGTAGAACTTCCCCCTGGGGTGTCAGGCCTAGCTGAAGGTCAGACTTTGGCAGCCTGGTACCCAGGATCTCTTCTTTTTAACAGGTTTATTGATATATAATTCACATCCCATACAATGGTTTAAACGTGCTAAAAAGAGCTGCAATCATCACCACAATCAATTTTAAAACAATTGCTTAATTCTTGCACTCAATAGGTTCAGCTCCCCACTACCCCACACTCTTCCCAGCCATAACCCTGAGAAACTATGAATCTAGTTACTGTCTCTAAATAAACCTACCTTGAATATCATATAAAGGAAATTAGACACACACACACACACACAAAACCAACAACAATCAAATAAAACAAAAGCAAAAGAAAGCAGAAAGTAATAAAAACTAGGAAAAAAACTTTTAATAAGTAAGAAGAACAAACAGAGTTAAATTTTAACCTGATTATATCTGAATTAATCCATTTTTCAATGCACTCTGTCTGATAGCAAAACTATTCTTAGCCTTGGTCAAGGTCAGAAGGGCATTCTCCAGTGGGTTAATCCACATGAGGGCTCTGCAAATAGATTTAGGACGTTCACTGTCATGCAGAGCCTCCCACAAAGCTGAAGCTCAAAATTTAAACTCAGATAGAGTTAGTTCCCTCCTGCAGTCTTGGATTTTATTATTTACAATCCTTGGATTGCATGGGCTAGCCTGCTTCTTTCCATGTGGCCTTAGCTGACACTTCACTTAGATGGCTGCTCGTTTTACGACTAGCCATTAAGGTCTGTGTTAGCCAGGGTTGTCCAAAGAAACAACTCAGTGACACTCATTGATGTAAAGGAAAGAGTTTTATATCAAGAAGTAATTACGTATCAAGAAGCCATCCCAGCCCAACCCAACTCAGGTCCATAAGGCCCTCTTCAGAATGACATAGCCACTTGCAATGATGCCAAAAGTTTAAGGCGGAATGCAGGAAGATCATAGACTGGAGTGGATCCAAGGTTGGCAGAAACTTGGCAGGGCACCTTAGGAAGCCCTGAGGGCCATCAGCAGAGTCATAACAAATAGGAAGGCCAAGGGGCAGAGAGAGGGAGCTTCTCAATCACCCCCATCCCTTGAAAGCACGGTACACCCCCAAGGAGACATTCATTATCAGGCTGTGACCTGATTGACAAATTGGATTCCACCCCTACACTTTAATCATCTAACTACCACAAGATCCAGACACTATTCTTTCTGCTAGCCTGGAACCATCTATTGTCTTCACCACACTATACGATGGCCCCATATCCTCAGTGATCTCCTCATGAGGGCAAGTATCAAGGAGGGCCATGTCATGAGAACTAAGTATTCTTAAATTAGGGCTATGATTAAATGTGGGCTCAAAATCCATGCACATCGCTATGGTTTATGGATGTCCCTGGTCCACTTTAGAGGCATTAGTACCCTGGGGCCAGGGGGAGATTAGAAATCATCCCTATGGGACATATAATAATTCTATTGATAGTATCAATTTAACCAATAGGGAACCCAGATGCTTAGCCACAATTCTGTGCTTCCTATCTTCCTCAAATGAATATTTACGAGGACAAGATTTCTTTCCTTTTTTTTTCCTTTTAATCATCATCAAATGAGATGCCCCAAAGAGTGTGTATTGCCCCGTCTTGTTCCAAAGACACATCCCATCAGCCCTGCGGTTCCGTTTGCACAGTCTCTGGCGTCGGGAAGAAGCAGACCTTCAGCCGCAGCACTGTGTTCCCTCCCCAGGCTCCCCACTCAACTGCTGAGACCACCCAACAGCCTGCTCCGGCCCTCACAGGCTGCTGTCAGATAGCCATTCAGCACCCCCACAGCCCAACGCCTGCATTAGCAAAGGCATTCCGGCCTAATCAGAAATTAATGGGCAGTGCTTTGCAGTAATTTAATTTCCACAGTAAACTTAATGAGCAATTTAATACAGATGTCAAAAGGAATGGCTTAGTTGTTGTCTGAATGCTTTTTCCTGTGCACACATTCATGTGAACTCAACTCGGCTGCCTTTTTATAGCTCTGTTTAACATACATCCCAGCAGAATCAGGGAGGCCCTTATGCATTTAGAATTATTAATAAGGGTAACTGGGCACTTAATTAGCAATTTAATGCTTAGTGCTCCATGATTGGAAGATCCCGGAAGATTATTTAGCACAATTACCTTCCTCCCCGGAAGCCTTCTGCACCCTCCTAAGCAAAGCTTATTCTTAATCAATCTCAACCGAGTTCACAAAGAGGGCATGGGCACACGCGATAAATTCCCTCTGCCCTTAGCCAGGGTCATGGTCCACTCCTGGAGGGGAGTAAGGGAGAGAGCGCTCCCATATTGCTGTCCCTGCTGTCGCGGTGGGTTTGCATGGGGGTCATTTTGTGTCCCATTGAATGTTAGCATCTATGTAACAATATTTCTGTACGAGAAAGTGATGGACCCGGATCTGAATGGTCCTGCTCCAGAGACCTCCGTTCATGCTGACACTTTAATCCCTGTGACTCTAAAGCCATTTGTCACCGGAGACCACCTGCTGCCCACCTGCTGCTATTACAAAGATGGGCTCCTGATACCAAGGCTCA